GGCTGAACGGGATAATGTTTCTTGTCACTGGCTAACTGTGCGCTGAAATGTATATGCAGTGCGGTAGCGAGTGTGGACTGAATTACAGAGCTGTGCTCTAATGCTGAGGAGGAAACGCCTCTAATTATGGATGCTGAAGCTATGCAAGACGCCCAGCTGACTCGTTTTGGGTATGTTTGGAAGGCACACTTATTTCCGACCACTTTAATACCCACAGAAAGCCCCTTTTGAACACCAGGAGCACTGGGTTTACACTAGCGTGTTCCTCCGAGGGGCAAGTCCACTGACAGTGTTGGGGATGTTTGGAAGACACACTTATTTCCGAACACTTTAGTCACCATACAAAACCCCTTTTAAACACCAGGAGCGCGAGGTTTACACTGGCGTGTTCCTACGAGAGACAAACCCACTCGCAGTGTTGATACGCAACTTACTTCTCCTGGCCTTTCAGACTCCTCTGAGGAGAACAGCATGAAGTTCGGACCAGTTGCGTCGAGAAGAGACGGTCAATTCGTACGGCACGAATCGACAAAAGAAAAGTCAGCGCAGTTGTGACTACACAGTACCGTTGACAGCCCCAAATTTGATTGTCAAGTCCCCCCTCTCCGTGCTACAAGTTATGATGAGAAAAATGCCACGTGAAGAAATCTATACTGTTGAGCTACCAGGTAAGGATGGGACAACTGTCAAAAAACAGGCCATTTATATTACTGTCTGAAACGCTGTCCTCAAGACTTGATCTTGTCTCATTCTCTTAAATCAGCATAGCCATGAACTCCATGTTCATGTATCGAAAAAAACATTCGTATATTTAAGACGAATGCCTTCTCTTTAAAAAGGCTGGAGCGTCAAATCTTGAAGCACTGCGAACTGGGAGTGAGAAATAGAGACTATAAATACTACCCGGTTTTTCCGCTGAAGCTGCTGGACGCAAGCTCAAAAAATCACAACAGATTCGGGACCGAAGCGGGGGTTTGTTCTGGAGAATAAATTCCAGATTCATATATTATTTTCCCCACAAATTATAAATTGTGACGTAGGATATATATATTTAATGGTAGGGGGTGCTCACCGATCGTTCTTACAGAACTCACTCGTTCCATTCTGCCCTACGGGCTCTCTCTCGAACCCAACCAGCAGCCGCACAGCAGCGCATGATAACGGCAGAATGTTATTACCGACAAGGCAGACTGGAATGACCATTTCTGGCTTATTAGCCGTCGTCATACAGTCATGCCCAACCCCGAATTCGGAACACCTGGGGCTCGAACTCGCGACCTGTTAGTTCGCGACCGAGTCCGAGTCTCGAGTGTTCCATACTTCGCAGTTAGGTATGACTGGCTGACAACGGCTAATAAGTCAGAAATGGTCATTCCAGTCTGCCTTGTCTTTGTCGGTAATAACCTACTGCATTTGTGCAGAATAACAAGACAAGAAAGACTGAAATGGCCATTTCTGGCTCATTGGTCGTCGTCGACCAGTCATACCCAAACCCGAAGTATGGAACGCCTGGGGCTCGATCCCGCGATCTGTTGGTTAGCAATCCAGCGCCTCCAATCATTGAGCCCGCTGTCCTGTCACCTGGGATTGAGAATATACAATGGTAGGGGCTCTCACCGATCGTGTTACAGGCTCACTCGTCCTGTTGTGCCTTGAGGCTCTCTCCCGAGCCCAACCAGCATCCGCATAGCGGCGCATAATATAGGCGGGAGGGCGATTTCTGCGACCAGTTTTTTGTTAGTCCGACGATTCGAGCTCTCACGTGAGCCCACGGCCAAGGAATGAAAGACTGTACAGCTCATTTCGTATTTAGCTCACCTCCATCAAGAACTCTAGCTGCGCTACCGATTTGTTCACGATGTGCTTGATAAGTGACTGAGAGGTCGATATGCTGAGTCCTCAGTGGAGCATCAGACTTACTGCAGCAGGCGCGGAACTCGGTCGTCCGACTGGCCCAATATTCTCATGCACCGAAGGTCACAACCGTACCCTGGCGAGGAGGCGCGGGCGGATACCAAGGACAGTTTATCCTTCCGTCGCACGGCCAACTCATGATCATGCAATCTCGCGCGAGCCTGTTTACCGGTTTCAACAACGGAATCGGCTTGAGCACGATTGCAGTCTGTCCGGCAATAACCCCTGATTTCCGATTGATGGAAATTGGGTTCTTAGAATGTATGAGTAAAAATACGACGGCAACTCGTTCAACCTGACGACTCGATTTTCATAAATCAGAAATTAGGCGTCATTTACCGGAGCTTGCTCATCCCGTTGTGCCTTGATGCTCTCTTGAGCCCCACCAGCAGCCTCACAGCGGCGCTTGATATAGGCAGAATAGCATCACCGACAAAGACGCGCGTCTCAGAATGTAAACGAAGCGGAAGCGCGATCTCAGGAACCCTAGTTGTATTCTCTTGACGTTTCGAAAGTTTTCATTGTCGGAGATGACTATCATACCGCGCCTCAGTATTCAGAGCATAACGACCACTTTAACAAGCCGCGTAAGGAGGACGAAAAAGAGGTCGTTAGTCGACTTTGGCGCTCATCGGTCGGCTACTCACAGGAATGATCTTTGTAATCGCCGCGGCGGAAGCGGAAGGTGGATGACCGCTGTCGATTCGCACATCGTGCGGAAACCGCCTTACGCATACAACTCTCGCGCCCTAAAAACAGGGCTGGCTACCTCGATAGAAAAGGTGTTGTCTGCAAAATACCATGTGTAACTTGCGATGCCATCTACTGTGGCCAAACCGGGGCATCCGTCTAAATCCCTATACATGAACACCAGTTAGCGACGAAGAGACTGGACCATCTATCTCAAGCGTCCATTCACTGTGTGGGAGAGCGCAGTATGCTCATTGTTCCCGCATGCATGCTGCTCATATAGGCTGGCAGCCGAGCATTCGCATTAACGAACACAAACTAGCTGTCCGTCACCGTGACCCAGCTTACGCGCTGGGATGCGACCACCGACCCCATGGAAATGGCATTAAGGTCATCGACACGGCAAATACAGGAGGATTTCCCGAGGCTTGGCATTCCAATGCGCGCAGTATCAATCGCCATACTGACCTAGACGGCCGCTACGAGGGCTCGCGATCGCGGCACATTGAGCTCCGCCTCCATGTCACCGCAACGACCGCTAATCCAGCCACCCGCAGTCCCGTTGATCTGTCATCCTCCCCCCTAGCCCTTCAGCACAGGGAACTGCAACTCCGCTCCCCCCCGCCGCTCAGGAGCCCACCTCTCTTACACTCCAACGGCGCGTCTGTCATATCGCGCCAACTGGTCTTGAGTGAAAGTCTCACTTCCACAGACTGAGCGCGATTAAGCGCTCCCCGTTGTGCTTTGAGGCTCAATCCAGGGCCCGCAGGTAGCAGCACAGCAGTGACAGAAGGCTGCCGACATTGGCAAGGGGGAGACTGGAGCGGTCATTTCTGGCTTACCAGACGTCATTTGGCCTTGCTCAATCTCATGTTCGGGGGCAGCTGAGGTACGAACTAGTTTTTTTCTATAGTTATTAAGTGTCAATAAGTCCACTCCTGTCGGCAAAAGTCACAAGTAGGCAATAAGGGATACTCATTGGAGCAAGGCTGGAGTGGCCATTTCTGGCTTATTAGCCGTCATCAGTTGGCCTTGCCCAGACCCCACGTCCGCGGAACCCGAGGTATGAGACCACATCACTTAATCAAAATCCCTACACACACCTTGCCGCGGTCAGATGTACAGGCACCATTCGCTGCTGTGACCCATCTTACCGACCGTCTGGTGCAGACTGGACAAATGAATGCCTTCGTTGCAATCTATGGTGTGTACAACTGGGCTGAAGTGCTCTGAACTCCTGACGTTTTACAAAACGGAGGGGACGACGCTTTCTATAACAGTTTAAACAGTCATTTTACACCAGCTTCGCCGCCCTGTGTGTCGTAAGCGCACCTGCCGACACCAATCGTGGTCCCGTATTCGACAGGGCTACTGCCCCCTCTAGATCCAGCTAGAGCTCCTACACATAATCGGATATTCTTCTCTGACGTCCGAAAGAGCTCACAAGCAAGGACAAATGTGTCGATATGACTGAAATTAAACTCTAATCACTGGGAATGACATAGGTAAGAAGACTCCGTTAGAAATCGTTCAATGCAACTGTGCAGAAACGGTAACTGGTGAAACCCTCGAAGTGATCACAATTCACATACGTCTAAAGAACAATGTAAATTTGTGGTTTGATTATCACTAGCCTTCAGACCGCAGCCTAGAAGACACCTTGGCGAAAATGTTTATTGATTAAAAATAAAGACACACTTTCTCTCATTCCTCACATAATAAATCAACAAGGTGAGCTTGCTGGGCGTAAACCGACTTCATTGGCTGCGATTCGGCATTCTTAGGTACGTTTTGAATGCTACTTAAACAGCGCAATGAAACTTTATTGACAGACGGGAAACGGTATGGATACAGAAACTTCGGTTGAAGTACTACAAAGAAATGAGCAAGATCAGCAGCGACCCTTGCAACTCCTTTTCCGAGGCACAACCCCGAGTCCTCGCAGACCAAGTTAACTTACGGAGCCCTTCTCACCTCAAGGCGTTTGAACTTGGACGGATGGGAAAAGAATGAAATTTAACAAGGGGACAACAAAGTCTTGAATAAATCGCGGAATTCGCAGTTTCGGAGAGGAGCCAAGGCGCCTCGTAAGTCAGCTTAGTCTAGGAGGCCTAGGTATTGTGCTTCGAATAAGTAGTCAAAAGGGATAGGCAACCCGGTCGATGCTGATCTTGTTCATTCCTTGCAGTACTCCAACCGAAGTTTTGCACCCATGCGGCTCTCCGTCTCGTGGTCAGACAATTGTGAATACCAACAAAGCTTACTCAAACTATTTAAGTAGCATGTCAAAACACATTAAAGAATGCTGAATCGCAACAAATGAAGTTGGTCTACGCCCAGCATGCACACCTCGTTGACTTATTATACACCCTCCTGCATACAACAACGAGGAGCAGTCATTTTCTGCAGCCGGCTGAATGTCCAATTCCACCACCGCTGGAGATACCGATGCCAAGACAGGTCGGAAAGGCTGATGGCGGCGAGTCCTTGGTGGGTGGGTTGACCGGGTAGTAGGAACTGGCCTGACTCGTCACATCCTCCTCTTCCGGTAGATCGCTAGCGCTATCAATGCTACGAACGACCGCGGAGGACTGGGAACCGAGGGAAGAATGTTTACTCCGTCTGCCCCGTGTGGAGGTGTGCCTTTTGGCGGGTGTGGGCGCTGCATCGCCCTCCTCTGCTCCACTGTCTTCAGGCGGTTGAGATGTTCGTGACTGACGTCTCGATCTTCGGCTGATTTTGCAACAAAAAATATTCGGTGGATAAAAGAACCAAATAGCTTGACCTAATGAATGAAGAACAGGCGATAACCTGAAGTGTGCCGCTCTTAAGATTCCCTTAAAAGACTAAGACCTAGACGTATATGCAGGCAGGAGGAAGAGACGAGTAAAACGCATACACGACACAAACGTTTCACTGAGCCTCTCCAGTAAAATGTGAGCATGCGTAGACCAAAGAAAAACTAAGGAAACAATGCCTCAGAAATGGCTTCTTCGGTAGCAGGGCGAAAAGACGTTAAGGAGACCGGAAAGAAACCCTCCAGAAACTAGGCCCTGGTAAACATCTCCTGAAGTCTTGCTCAGGTGTGATTTGTTTAAAAAATAAGCCAAAGCGGTCAGGTTGTTGTCAAACGAACAGAATAACGACGGCATCTTCTGCAAACCTTCGAAAATGTCCTGAAGTCTTCGCAATCGCACCAGTACAATCATTCTCTGTGGCTGTTGGTTCTGGATCCTGCACGTGAAAGTTGTATGACCCCGAGGATCGTTGACTGGGAATGATCCCCGAGTGGAGTATACCGCCTCTATCTCAGGTGGGTCAGTCCGCACGAGCACAACAACCCCACGATGGGGCGACAAAGTGGTCCTAGTGAAACCCGCCTCAACATGGTTCGCGATACACGTTAAAGAAGAGCAGGTCGAGTTGAGTCGCAGTCCCGGATCGTGTCGCATGAAAGGCATAATTGAAGTCGGCTAGATCACGCGTGATCACGTTTGTACAAAGTGTACATAAGCAGGTGAGAGCATCGTGATGGGGCCCGTCTACAGGTGGTGGATTGTGAAATGGCTTTTGGCAATGACTGTCTGCAAAAGCAGTCGGCCTTCCGTTCTGCCCAAAGGGCGATCACGAAACATGAGACGGCCAAGCGTGGTTGGGCATCGAATCAACAAGTCGGCTACCCATGAGGTCACAAATTATGGCAGGATTCATGCACACAAGCGACGTCCAATGACCTACCCCGATTGCAGGGCGGAAATTCCCGTGTCCGTCCTGCAAGCTGGACACATCAGTGGACGCCACCGTCATACAAATGAACATTCCTAGATCTCAGTCGGCATGATAGGGTCCGCAGAGCAGTGGTTGGGGCGCTTGCTCGATCGACAAATGGCTCTGGTTCGAACCTAGGGCGTGCAATCAGGAGGCCACTGACTGATGACGAAATGCAGGTCGAAGAAGTTCCCTCTTTCGTTGGCTGCATGTCTCTGATACTGCGCGCCACCTAATGAAACTACATCTATACCCATCAGACACAATCCTGGAAGCTTAAAATGGCGTAGGGAACAATTTCTCAAGACGGTAGCCCCACGCAACCGCTCTCTGGCGCAGCCTGTCCATTCTGGCTAGGTCGACCGAGGGCCCACGACGTCTAAGAGAAATCTTCGGCCCAGCAACAAGGCTACACCATGAAAGCCAGCACTTTTTACGGACTGAATACTTGACTGACCCTATTTACTTCGACGACCGTTGGTTGCAAAATCCAAGGAACATCGTGTAGAAGTAGTTTTCTCAAGGAAAAAGAGGCAGATAAGCGATGGCAAAGTGCATTGGCTGAAGGAAATTAAATCTACCTCGGAAGCCCCCTATGTACGAAGACAAACAAGTCTACAAGTGAAAAGAAGACTAGTCGAGCACCGGAACAGTCAGTTTATTGTTCTGAACTTTCGAATTCTTGCAGGAGTCCACCGTGTCCGAGATAGCAGCAAAAACAGGACAGGCGACAATTATAGAGCGTTAGCCAATTATCAGTTAATAGTGCAATACTGAGGGTGACTGCACAGGACTCTGTATGGCGGCGCCAGATAAATAAATCGAAGAGCAATCTGGAGTAGCGTATCGCACCCCGTGTAAAAACTGTCCATGTAACTACACAGGCCAAACTGGACGCATGTGCTGATCGCACATACACGAACACATGCTGCCGGTGCGAGGAGGCGACGAATTATCACAAGTGGCTGACCAAAACTACGAAATGGGTCATGGAGTTTAACTTTGCAGCCACAAAGATAATAGTCCGCACTGGAAACAATACGGGCCGAGGATTGATTGAAGCCCGGACCGCCGGCGTACAGAGCCCTGCGCAGTCACCTCTAGTTTTGCGCCATCGGTCGATTGTCGATTAGCACACCCTATAATAGTCGTTCGTGCTGTTTTTGCTACTATCTCTGAAAATGATGCTCGACCAGTCTTCTTATTTACTTATACATGCACCTGTAAATCGAACTTTCGCTTCCGCTGTAAAACAAGTCTATGCCAGGCACACGTGTCCGCAAGATTACAGTTCTAAAGGCGATCGGGGTCACAGAAACATCGGCCGGCGAGACCTTAGGAAGCGTAGATTAGTTTACCCCAAGTTCCCCGAACAGCCAACAGGCAGCGACTAGGCTGTCTGCAAACACAAAGCCTTTAGGAAGTCGGAAAAAACTTAATGAAGATGGGGAGTGACTCACAGGCTGGTCCTCAGCGGGGACTTCTGTCGCAGTTCCTCCACATCATTGAAGATCACAGCAGAACCCCCACCGGCCGTAGGCAGAATCGAGCCCTGAAAGAGGGATTTTGGAAATGGAGAAAAGTAGCCATACATAAAACCTATCCAAAAAAGCTGCGGCTCACATTGTTGTGTAAAGCAAAACGGCAGCAACCAACCTTAAAAAGTCGCGTTTCCACGTTGCCCTCGGGATCAGTGGTCTGGTGATGAAGTAGGTAGTCAGTCGCAACCAAGGTGTCCTTGAGTTCAACCTGTGTGGCAGACTTACGCGCCTTGATTGAGGGTGCCAGTATGGTGCCCAAGGGCGCGGCAAAGATCTCCTTGTGCTCCAGCCAGACAGCCTTGCCGCCACCAGTGGACTTGGAACGACGGTGTCGAGGGTTCACGGGTGCCGGACGATTGAGAATATCGGCAAGGGGAGATGTGGGAGTGTGGCGACGCGAGTTACCGTCCCGCAGACGCCTAACAGGGGCCGTGGATGGAACGGCAGTCTGCGCGCCACGTTTGGCAGACCCAGTCTCCTCCTGGAGTCGCGACTCGTAGCGACGCGAAAGGGCGGCGACCCTGCCCTGGAGACAGAAATTGCATGATATGTCCCAAGCATAAGGTGGACAGTATTAAAGGTGGGCAAAAATTGCACTAATGCCAGAGCGCAAGACTACGCTGGCTCTGCAGTTGGCAGATGGATAGACTAGGCGAGAGACGGCTGAAATTACCAAGGGATGGTAATGAGGATGAGGATAGGATATCATTCCCTACTTTAACCAATCGATAGACTTATGAATTTGAAGGAGATGAGGGCAGTTGTCACTGGACCAGGGTCACATCTGGGTCAGTGCAGCAAATACTTTGTTAGTTAGAAGGTCGCCAATCGTAGGATGTTAGCAGCATCACCATCACCGACACACCTTCAGCAGGTGGACAGGGCCAGGATGGTGGAGGCGCACTGCCAACTTGATGGATGGGTGAGAGGGTGAGTCTGGGAACATTTCTGCAAAATATACACGCACGCACGCACGCTGCAGTTACCTTCAGTTATGACGAGAGAGTCAGTCAAAAACTACGACACAAATCTGACTGCGAAAATCCAGATAGTGCCTTTGGAGAATACGGCAGTTTTAATGGTAGGGGGCGCTCACCGATTGTTATTACGGAATTCATTCGTTCCGATGTGCCTTACGGGCTGTTTCTCGAGCCCAACCAGCAGTCGCACAACGGCGCACGATATAGGCAGAATGGCATTACCGACCAGCCTTCCTGGTCTTTGTCGGTAATGCCATTCTACGGCAGTTTTAGCCAACAGACCGAACCCCGAGTGTGGACGAGTTTTTTAGGCAATTTAAAGTTGGGTCTTCGTCTCGAAGTGTCCCTTCAAGGACTTCGTCCGTCCGAATAAGTGTCACCCGCGACATCACTCCCTTTCCAATTCGGTGCTAATCTAGTGATGGACATTGACAAACAGCATAGTCATATCTACAGGCCTACAGAGAGGCACATCAGCCCTTGGTGATCGATAATTTAATGCTACCTGGATAAGGATTGCCATGGGACTGACCAAAGATCACAGGGAAAAGACCGCATTGATTCGAAATGTCGTCAACCTTTGAGCAGGCACAAACAAGTATTAATTGCCCGCATGTCACAAGACAAAAGATCCACGACGCCTATTACACAGCTAATTAACAAACCCGGATTTTTTGTGGTTTACCATTGTGTGTACTGTTTAAGAAATAACGCCTGTTAAACAAGTAATATAAACGCGATAGCACGAATGACCACCTTAGAAAAGGTCGCACCAGTAAAAGCCCTGCACAGAGGCAGTTGGATTAAATTCTGGAAATGGCTTTAGATATTTTGCTAAGGGAGTTAGAGGCCGTTGTGCTGTTAATGTAATCGGGGCTCGTCGGCGACTCAACTGTTGGTGCTGGCGAATGTCAACACTTCCGATTTACCAACATCCCCTGACCACATGATATGAGGAAGTGACACTTCTTAAGCGCACCTTCGCACGCAGATGAAAAAACTCGACATTCATTAGGCAATTTTCGGGGCTTTTCCTCGGTGTACCACCGGTTCCCATCAATGTCAGCCCACTTCGAATTCCCCCACATCACTTACCACGGTCGGCGGTGAATTTTCGTTGCGAGAGCGCTTGTCCCGTGCAAGATCCTCCTCAGCATCCGTGTCCATCTTGGAGGCGCGTTTCCGCCCACTGGCCGGCACTCGAGTGTGTGGAGTACGGCAGTTGGGAGTCATGTCCTGCACATGGTTGCGCAGCCTCTGCAGCTGTGCCCGGGCGTTGTCCGCCTCGCGCAGACGTTCCGACTTCTCATGACGCGCCAGCAGCCTGTTCTTGGCGACCTCGTTCTGATAGTGAAAGAAGGAAAAAGGGGGAGGGATGCATATTAGGCATAAAGAATTCCCAATGGTAGCAGAAGGCCCAGTAGGTTAGAGGGCAGAGGTAGGAGGGCGCTCATCGATCGTTGTGCCATTACGGGCTTTCTATCTCGAGGCCCGCCAGCAGTCGCACAACGGCGCGTACTATAGGCAGAATTACATTACCGGCAAAGACAAAGGAGATTGGGATGGCCATTTCTAGCTTATTAGCAGTCGTCAGCTAGTCATGCCCAACCCCGAAGTGTGGAACACCTGGGGCTCAATCTCGTGACCTGTTGGTTAGAAGTCCAACGCAACTAACCACTGCGACACGGGCTCGTCATCATGTCGGTTGCGATCGGGTATGTAAAACGGTAGGAGGACACCGATATTCCATCAAGACCAAACTCTTTCCAGGAAACTAGACAAAACTCGTACCGTTCCCTTGCTTGTTTGCGCTGTTATCCAACAGGGAATCATATATGCACACGGGAAATGCCTGCTAGAATTGCCGTCGCTGTCGGGGGAAGGGGCGCTCCCTTTCAGCGCCACCGACGGTCGCCCAGTTTGAGTGGGCAATAGATATATGATCCTTTAGAAACCTAGCTGACACAATTGCGTAGACATTCGGCGCCTGGGACGGCTTAGTAGAGGTGTCCCTCAAACGGGACACGTGGTAGGTACGCTGGATGGACGCGGGGGCTAGATCGGGGCCCAGACGGCGTTATTGGAAATGCGCACCCATAACAGATGACAAAAGTGAGAGTTCAATGATGCACCACAGTGCACAAACGCCGCGTCAGTTGCGATCCCAGCCACTCCTTTTCGTGTAAAATCATGGGCAATATGTGTTGTGGACCAGGGGTTGTGGTGGTACGCCCAGGTGCGAGTTTACGTCATGCCGGCCACCTGCGCCCTCCCCGCCTCCGGCTTTCCTGACTGTGTCATGACACCGGACCTAGGCGGGGGAGGATAATGAGGTAGATGTTGCGTAAGTCGACTGCTAGCTTAAACTAAATCCAGCCCATGCCACCGTCCACGCTCTCACCCTAATGTGGGGCACACAGTGGATATCCCCGGCAACAACGGTTGAACTATCGGAAAAGGGACGATTTAGGGTTCCACAGATGGGCCGGTTAAGTTTTCAAGGCTCCGAGGTTGACTGAGGGTTAAGTGGCGCAAACCGGTCACCGTGTTAAATCTAACGACGAACTCCTGAAATCATCAAAAGCGCTTTGTATAGGTTGCGCGGAAGAGTCACATAAATACAACTTTGGAAGGTGCAAGGGTAAGCGTTAAATTCTTTTCCGGACTACCAAACTACAAACTTTGGCGATGGCAACTTAATGATTTATCTTTCCTGGTGTCGCTAATGACAACCATCGGTAGTATGGTTTACTTCGAGAAGCAATACAGACCAATCAAATCCGGGAGGTTTAAGGTCCCACGGTTAGTAAAGATACGGAATTAGCTTTCCCTAGACAGCACCCCAACATCTGAAGTACATGTCTTAGTTGGTGCGTGGGTGCCATCAGCGAAGGCGGTTGGCCTGATCTTCTGTGGTCGGCAGATTCTCGCGATCATGAGGCTCCATGTGTTCGTTGTTATTTGTCCTATCATCCCATTTATTTGCAGGAAAACTACGTCCAGACAGGTATGGGCATATGAGATGTACATACACTTTCTGGTGAAATATTATTATAGAGCTTGGTTTTGAGTGACAAGTTATAACGTGGAAGTTGACGTGGTGGGTAAAGAGTAGTTATCGAACTGCGTCATAAACTCCAGCAACAAACGTTAATGGGAGAGGCTTTGAATACCGCGGTCTCAACAAGCCAATCTCACCAGAATAAAAGATGAAACCTTCCCAAAAGCATATTTTGGCGGTTTCAGTGACGAGAATCGTGACTATCGCCTGTAAGATAGGCCAGGCTTCCTATTTTACGGCGAAACATTGAAGACGCATGGAAAAGTAGCTGGGGCGGAGTTAGCTTTTCAGAAATCTCAGGCAGTTTAACGTTCGGTTTTGTAGACATCGAGGTCTTCTCAGGTGAAACGCCCTGCGCTGGCATAATTAGCAATCCTTACATGCAGCTTGGACGGCACAGTCAACAGAAACTGCTTCATATGAGGACCCTAGTGTACAAGACACCAGAAAAACATCTGACTTGTTTCAGTTTCTTAAGAGGCGTATATGCGCACCCTGTCGGATACAGCAGTTATGGCAAAACAGCGGAACAATGGGCACAAATGCCGCTTGATAACGAAAGTGTGCTGGCGAAAATAAGATCGAAGTCAGACCGCGCATGCGAGCTGTGGTAGATGGCATGAAATCTTCCGACAAAACCATTGAAAGACAGTAAGGCAGGTGAAGTAGAGGGAAAGATGACAAGAAAAAGAGGGCATCTTAAGTACTGGCCACAACCGAATTCTCCGATGACACTGTACCTAACTGCGTGCAGACAGGCCCAGCTAAGACAAAGTTACTACCAAAAATAAAACGGGTGAACGGGTCGTCTGCATAAAAGTGGAAAAAGATGCGGTTCACAAACCTCGAGGTGACGAATTTTCGACTCCATTCGCTGTTTTTCGATTGTCATTGAGTTCAAAGAGTCAAGCAGGGTGAGTTGAGCGTTTCTAGTATCTGCTGGCCGCACCATGTTCATCAAACTGGATTGCACATCCTGACTCACTCGTTCAAGAAGTTCTCGTGCTCGGCTGCGTTCAGCGGCCCGCGCGCGCAGGACCTCGAAGAGGGGACAGTTGTTAGCCAAGTGATGGGATTTCTGGGCGTTGGAGGATCGGCGCCAGCTGGCGAGAGGGTGGGCAGCCGACTCCGGATCAGAGGACTTGTCGCGATCTGGATCTGATTCATCGAAGAAGGCAGGACAGCAGATGAGTGGCATGTCAAAGAAACTTTCGCTGGCACTCAGGGAGGGAGAGCTCAGTTTGCGTCCCGCGTTCAGGATTTTGGAAACGCAAACCTGGAGGTCCTTGTCAAGCGCCTGACACCGTTCAATGGCTGCAAGAAGCTCGTCGTTTGCGGCCTGAAAATATGCAAAAGTGGAAATGCACGTTTAAGCGAGACCACTACCGACGTGGCAGCCGTAGGTTTAGAATGTACGAAAGTCAATTTCATGCCCAAGGCTGTAGGGGGAGATATAAATACTGTTACCGCTATCACCAAAATCTCGTCGCAAAATGTGTGCAGACGGAAAACACCGTTCACAATGGTCATGGGGTGAAGGTAACCGCACTTTTGAGTATTTTGTGTGGCCAACACGCGACCAATTAAAAACTAAAAGAAGTAGGTATCAGCTAGGTCTGTTCCGAAGGATTTACTCCAAGTTCGCGTGCCCCCAAACGGGCCACGCGTCAGATGTGCTGGACCAACACGAGGGCCATATCGGATTCTGGCAGGCGTTATCGGATTTGCGCACCATAGCATATGCCAACATTTCGGGATGCGACGACAGACCCGGTTGCCGGCAGACGTCGCGCACACTGGAACCCCTGCTGCCCCCCATTATTAATGGTCAAAAACCTGGTCATTTGTTGCGCGGACCAGGTGTGGGGTGGAGCGCCAAGGTGCAGGCTCGACCATGCCATCCATCTGCGCCCTCCTGTCTCCGGTTTTCTTGACACCGGGTCCAGGTGGGGGGAAGGGGGGGGGAGAGAGCGCGGTAAATGCTGTGCAAGTCTACTATCACTATAAACTAATTCATGCACTAGTCACCGTCACTGCTGTCACCTTGATGTGGAGCACACAGCGGACATCGTCGGCAACGACGGTCGAACTCCAAATTCGTGCATTAATTGCTTCGGAAATTAAACAAGGCAAAGTGATGAGTGTATACTCCGAGGAACACCATCAGAAGGACGCATCCACCAGGTTGAAGATGGCGAAAACAGACATTACATAGGCCGTGACGATCAAATATTAAAATTAGGGAATACCATGACGGCTACTCTGCTGACAGAACAACTTTCAGCGTTCGTGCGCAGCACCGTTCTGTTCTTCCCTCAGTTCCTTCTAACGACACGACGCACTTCGTTCTGCCCAGTCATCCACGGCAACAAGGACGCCTAGGGAGGGCGAGGCCTCCGAATTCCGGACTTTGTGTGTGGCAGAGGATTACTGCCACCGTTGGAGCTTTCCGTAGTCCCCTCAAACTATGCGATGCACTCCATTCTGCACAGTCATCCATGGCAATGAAAATGTGGGGGGGGGGGAGGGGGGAACCTCCGCATTGCAAACCTCGATTATGCCAGCACTTTACTCGCGTACTGGCTCGGGGAAACACAATCCGCATGATTCTTCTTTCCATTATATGGAGGTTCCTCAACCACAAAAAGACGGACCTTCGACACACAGGCGACCTAATGTTATCCCGAAATGAGCGAAAGGTTGTGAAGAGAACAATTAGGACCAGATTCCTTGATCATAGCATTAATTACAGTTCTCAATCAATTCGTCCAGCCTGCTTTCCACGCCGCAGCATTTCATCATGGCGCATTACCTATCCTCAAGGACGCACTGGCAAGGCCTCTAACGTTGGGAGTAAAAACAACAACAACAACAACAACAACCGATAAAACGGAACCTTACCTCCAGTGTAGGTGATGAGCCCCGGGATGAGACTGGGGTGGCGCGCGGAGTGGAAGGAACAGTGGTAGTCGTCGACACTGATTGGCTGTGTTCCGCAAACTCCAGAACGTGCTTTATGGGGTTGAAAAGGATAATATGTCGTAAGCACCATTGTCAGTGGTAAGTTTAATGACATTAAAATTGGCTAAGTCACAATATATGCGGAACTAAAAGCTGAAATATGGTCGCCGGTCGCACCATTTCCACGCTGAAGTAATGACAGTCAAATAGAGGCAATTCACTGCTGACAAATGCAGTCAAAAAACGCCCCAGTTGGGATCAATCATCCGAAAAAGTGGGAAGAAGACATTCTGCCTCAAAGTTAACACACCGATGAAATAGGGTGATTATAGTGCTTACTAGTGTCTCGTCGTATTCCTCAACTTTTGGACGTATGCATATGAGGACCAAGACCTGTCCACTGCCCTCGAAGTAACTTTTGAAAAGATGTGTCAACTTGGTGTCCCTATAGGGCACTTTGCGTGGTATAGTTTGCGAAACACCGAGGCCTAGGCCGTCCTCTCTTGGTGAGGCCATCTGGTTGGTTCGCAGCACATCGATACACCTGCGTAGGTTCATGAGTGAATTGTTGATTTGAGCTATTGAGATGAAAAAAAACGACGATGAGACGCGTGGGCGGAAGCAACAATAAACAAGAATTTTGGTCTGTCACAGAAAAGATCAAAAAATCCTACAAATTGAACACGCACTCGTTGACAGAGTGAGTAAACAAAGGTAAAGACTTTTAACTACTTTTACTTGAACCTCATAATCCAGTAAGGACTACTAAGCAGAGACGGTCGGGTGTAAGATAGAGTAGACGATGGTTTAAGTCGAAACGGACGGCAGGCCACAGTCTCCAAGACCTAAGAATCGTAAGAAATTCCATAAGGTGCATATCTAAGTCAACAAACAAACACGTCCAAAGATGCTTGGTCAAGAGTCGGGGTTAATACCTGTTCTAATCAGGGGATGAGCTACTATCAATCGGTTTATTTTATGGCAAAAAGACCACATTTCACAGAATACATACGAAGTTTGGGGTCAATGACTGCAGACACGGCCCACCTAAAGATCGAAGAAACGTTAACTTGCCGGACGTTTGATATTGTCATAATTCGTTTCACACGTAGAAGATGGTACGACAAACGGCAAAAACTGCCCAATGAGCCTGACAGCGCAAAGCGCTCTTGCAACGAGGAGCTGTTAGTGAACATGTTCCATCAAGCCAGAATATATTCGATTTTTGTGGTGGGGGCAACTGCAGTGGAAATAATACTTACATGCCTCTTTGAGACGGTGTCCAGTAGTCCCACTTCTGCTTGTTCGTTCCGAACCAGCAAGGTCAACGAGGCACAACTGGCTGACTGTGAGTAGACTGTTATCCTGGACAAGAGGAGACGTGAGGTAAAATTACGAAAATAGCGAAATTATGCAAGAGGTAAAGTGGAAAGGTACCTGAATGACTTCATCATAATTCGGATCGTATCCCGCCCTCACAATACGAATTGTAAAGATACTATGGCTTCGACTTGATGCATCGTTTAGGGCCGTTGAGGCAACACGCCTCCTTTTGGAACCTAGAAGGTGAAATGTATGGAGGAAATGCGGTCTATGAAATGAGAACACCGGCAGGGGAGATTTGCGGTTTAGAGCACTGGCTAAATAAAATTCTAGATCTACAAATCTGTGGTAAGGGTGTTAGTACAGTGGTCCCTGAGATTCTGCCAAAACAGGTAGCAGTTCAGAAAGGTCGGGAGAGGCAATACTTTCATAATTTTCAACTTCTTCCAGTATGTAGAGCTACGCACAACTAAATCCCAGATGCCATCACATTCCCCAGGAATAACACCTACTGTTAATCTGCTGTTATTTTCGTGATCGGCTAACTCTTGTCAGTAGTCGCTGCAGACAATCCGTCCAGCAGCTACTTTCGCAGGCTCTGCGCAGTCGGTCAATTAAACCACTAGCCGCACATCACAAGTCGGCAAATCTGAGCTGCCGGTGAAGAGGTGGGCGAGGGTTAGTAAGGAAAACTCCCACGGAACGAACGGTGAAATGACATTTTAAATAACAAAACGTACCCTGGTAGAAGTGTTTAAGAGCCTCGTCGGCCGTCTTGACCTCCGCTTCCACTATCCCAGGTACGTAAATATTCCTGTTGCCATCTTCACGCAGATTGTGGGGCCTAGGCAGACTAAAGCAGTGATGCAATAGAGTTGTAATACCTCCCAAGCGACGGAAGAGGCGCGAGCAAATCATATATGTTGTTGTTATAGAGTTCAATGAATGATACAAACACAGCATAGAGCGACTTTTTCGACAAAGGTATGGATTCAGTCTGCCGGACCCGGGTCTCAAAGGAGGGTGTGTTGTTTTCAGGCCTAGAGAAATATTATAATCAGTTGGGGATAACCTAGACGGCGTTTTTGGGTTACAAGTGTAGTCGAGACGCTGTCTGTCCATTATTGCTTCCGCTTCAGACTGTAAAACAAACCCGTTTTGTCCTGTTGGTTTGACAACCTGCAAACACCGTAATAATGAAGGACAAATTACATATTTCATAGTCGAATATGAAGAGATCGAATTAAAGATTATGTCAAGTGATCTGGGCAACAGACCAGGGTTTTCAAGATCACCCTGCATGGTGTAGGTTTTGCCACTACTTGTAACTCCATAGGTGAAGAGTAGGGCTAAGAAGTCAAAGGCAAAAAGGAACGCTGTACCATTTTCGCCATTCAATACACGCTCAACGCATGGCAGCAATGTTTCCGAAAATACGAATTCCTGTGATGCATCAGGTGCGAATACTCGAGAGAAGGCATAAAAACTCTGCACATGAGGATGTTAGTTTACGAGACGCCCTACCTGCTTTCCTGACGAGCCGTGTTTCGACTGCGCAACCAACGTGCAATCATCAAGAACACTGATGCAGGTTTCTTCAGAGTCATCCGCAGGCCTTACTCTGCAAAAGACCTTCACCTGTTCAGTTTTGCGCTCCACACCCGCATTCATTCTCAACCGGTTCAATTTTCAAAACGCGCTCGCAAGCCAAGGAGCGGACTCTCGATGACTTCAAACCAATGAGATTGACACGGACACCCATCCCAGCATCAGTGTCCAAAGTCAGTATATGAGAGATTATGCATGCGCCTTCAGGTTAAGGAATTATGTGGACACAATAAGCAAAGTCCATGAAAACATGTATTTTGGACACATTCATCAAACACAGCGAATGAAAGTTCTAACGGGAGAAATCCGTTCCTGCTTTTGAGAAAAGTTGAATCCACATTAACGCGGGAAAACCCCGAATGTCAAAATGCTAATATATAGCACATGCAAATAGAGCAAGATCAACCCAAAATGACAGGAGAAAAACGATCTATGGGGCGCGAGCAACATGCTGCTTATACATATTTCCATACACCTGTGTACAAGATACTGAAAAGGTAGCCAAGTCTTGTGAACTGGCCGTTAAATGCTGTCCATTAGTTGAACTAGTTGATCAAACTCCTACAAATCAATGCACCACAGAGTGTCTGTAAGTTATTTATGCATAAATATGCCGATTAGGTTAGCTGCACTGGCAAAAATGAAGCAGTCCTTGACTGGTAACTCGCCTGAAGAACTAGCATCGAAAACCGCACATGTGCCATTACCAGACACGCTTCTATTTATTTATTTGGGTAAGGAAGTGCTGCTTTGTGTCTCGCAATTATTTGGTAGGCTATTATTATGAAAGTGAACCGGAATTTGCATGGAATTTGCCCTTCCGAGGACTTGTAAGCATCAGAGAGAAAGATCTCTGTGTATGCGTCAATGCTGAAGCCTATTTAAGGAGTTTCACAAATGTTGTTGTGTGCCGTGCGCGTTTTAGAAAATTAGACAGAATTAGAGGAGATGAATTTATTCGACAAAGCAAGACCATAAGTTTATCTGGAGGGTGTCCATTCGGAGTTTAGACGGGACGCTAATCAATTTCTAATGGGAGCATGTGCATCCACGTTCGAAAGCCGTTCTCACACAGCTTCCTGTGTGAGTCGCCGAGAGGTTACTGGGTAAGCTGAGAATCTTTGCGATGTTTGCTATCCCAATGTAAACCGACGCGTCAATCTCGCCGTCAGATATTCGCCTGACAAGCACACTATTGAAGGGCAGCTCCTCCTCCTCTTCAACTTTCCTCTTCCTAAAAACTCATTCGGAATTTTGGATTGATTACCCGACAACTAAATCGTTTGATAGAGAAGGGATGCAAATTCAGGTGGACTGAAAAATGTCAATCTGACTTCGATTACTTCAAGACGCGCCTAATGTTCGCACCTGCACTCACAATGCTAAACACAGAAGCAGAAGCATCATCGTTGATACTTGACATACATGCGGGCGGGTGTGCCACGAGTGAAATATCATCGCTGACCGAATCCAGTATAACCGAAAGACCCGTGTAGATAATAAATATAGCCTTACTTGGCACCTATGAGGGCACTGTCCCTATAGGATAAAATAAATAGCATAAGACAATGACGAGCGAAGTCCGCTAGTATGACGCTGTCCTAATCGCAAAGACATTAGTTTACCCACTTTCACATAATCTTGACGCTAATAATTTCCGTAAAAAAAATTCCTGCATTCGTAATCGGTTAAACTGACCATTATTCTATACTGTGGACACGGAACATGAAAGATGCAGAATTACGGTGTGCTAGATGGCAGGAAACTCTCCAACGGTTTACCTTTACTCGACATTACCACTAACTGTCTAGAACACTAAGGATGATGCCTTATCCAGCCGTTTCAGTGGAGCGGTGTCATTTGAGAATGAGACAGTAATTTGAGCAGTCAGCGAAGTACGCATAACCTACCCAACACGTGGCGCAGGACTCTGATCCACATACATCCATGGAATATGATCATTAACGTATGGACAAACCCCGACTCGCTGCCGGTGCCATCGGATTATCGTCCGAGAGCGCGCATGGCCTGCACAATCATTGGTTCACTCTCCTTATCGAAAGGGAGTTGGTATTCACCGCCGCCTCCATCTATTTCACATCCTGGGCTATTGAGCCTGGAAGCCTCGTGATTCCAGTCTTGACCGATCTCCATCGAGAGATAGGTCATCTGAGCCAGGTCAACACGAAAACGCAGAAAAACAACTATTCTTATGGTCTCCGCTACATGAACAGAGGATCAAATTCTGCAGCTTATGCCCTACCTGCGCATGCCTTAGAGCGCCTCATCAACGGTTTTGTTCGCTTCTATAATCTTTAGTAACATAAAATTTTCCGTTTTAATGTGTCATAGTACGCCAGTAAATTTGGACATAATCCTGAATAACAACTTAACGTACAGCCTCAACCTCGTGGCTAATCTATTTCTTGTCATTTGACTGGCGTATATAAGCTTTGGACATTTACCGTTTTTACCCAAGGCTAGACTGAACGATATTCAACAAACTCGTGCCCACATGTTTTCCATTCCAAAACGTTCGGATCGTAACCATTATACCATTCCCCTACATCACTTCAGGAGGTCATTATATTTTAGTCGCGGTCGCCTACTTCTCTAAAAGGACGGAAGCGGTGCGCCTCCATGGACAAGATTTCTCTTTGTTCACGACTGCCTTTCTTGAGGGAATCAATCTGTTGTTTTGGGATTCTCCACTCCTTTTTTCCGTATTGTCGGAGTTACTTCGAAAGAAAGTTAGTGTAGAACATGGACAGTCAATTACTCATTCATGAGTCAAGAACGAAACTGACGCATCCAGGAAAAACGGGTAGGTTGAGCGCACGATCCGGAATCTCATAGAGATCTCGAAGTCAATTGTCCAACAAAAATCCTTAAAATGAGATACCTGACGACCGTATATGGGATATGCGCAATTCAGCATGATTATCCATTGGATCACACTTGCTTGTCGCACACTCAGAGACCTATTGTCCAGGTTCTTACGCAGTCGTACCTTAAGAACCTTTCAGAACCGGCCGTAATTTAGCACGCAATTATTTAAATTCCGCAAACCGTAATTGAAGAGAAAATTTCGGTATGCTGGCATTCGGAACGCCTTACCAACCAGACGATTTTCTATAACGCCACTGGGCTATACCTCCATTGCACTCATCTGCGAATTCTTCTCTTTTGCATTCTTTGGGTTATCTTACCCATGCATATGTGATTCTATTAATACAGACTACCTATCAGTAACTACTCGTTCTGAAAAATTAATACCATTCCAAGGAAGTTTGCTCCTCGAGTTGCCCAAAAATCTATTTATTGTTTCCGAGCATTTGGTTTCAGAATCATCGAACGGAATCACAATAGCGGAACTACCACTATACATACATTAGAACACTGCGAGTAGAACACCCTCTTGACAGAGGGGAAGTGTAGTAAAGTCAGTTGAACTTACTTTCGTCTTGTTTTGGAGTGGTAGAAAAACACAGAGATCGGTTTGAAGGGTAGCACTGCGTGGAATCTGTTTTTTGCCGTTGTAAGATCTTCTGTCAAAGCTCACAACAGGCTTCAGTTCTACGCCCTTGTTTAGTTTGGCATATGCCCAGGACCCTATCATCAAAAGAATCCTCCTGATCGATTATGAAAGTTGACTGTATTATTCCTTTCGTATTTTCGACTCATTTATAATTTGGTCACTATTGAAATCCGTCTTGTACATAAACTGTTCATCGTACTCACTTCTAATTGACGGCTGAATGTATAAACACGTGCCAAAATGTCTGCGCAGGACCCAGACCAGTCTATAACTGAACCTTTCATCATCAGTTGTGAAGTAAAGGATTACCAGGATATGATGGGCATTAAACAGCTATGGGCCTATCGGCCTATACGCGGCCGGCCAACATGATCAACACACTTGGGCCAAAATTGAAGCACTAAAAATGTGACAGTGAGCAGTCTACGGGAACACAATAAGTGAGAAAATCTAGCCGGTAAAATACAATGTGAAATAACCAGACGGTAAATGAAAAGTGCAACGTGTGTATCGTCAGAACGACTGCAATTCAGCAGTCACGATTGTCCAAATTAGCCACGTTTTGATCAGCAGAGCAATCGCATAACCACCTCGTCTATCGATACAAGCGAAGATGCGAGTTCCAGGGATTAGTTGATCAGAAGAAGAAGCGATCGCTGGACCAAGGTCTTTATTCGCCTGAGGTTTCGGATTCTCACTTGAATCCATCAGCAGAGACAGTAGCAGATAAGGGTGACTCATACACAGGAAGTTGCAGTATATATAGGATGCAGTCGCTATGCTACCGCATACCTATAGCAATTAATTGCTATAGACGCTCTAGGATTCCACCCCGCCCCTTTTCCCCTGCCGCCATGACTTCATATGTAAGAAAACCCGTTTTGACATGACTTTTACCCACCTATAAATACTGTGAGGCGAGATACCACATTCACCTCCGACGATGGAAGCTTGTATGCTTTTGAAACGTCAGGACAGTAAAGCTATGGTTCCCGAGATCGCCTTTTCTTCTCATATCTGTACATGTATTGAAGTGAAAATGTGCGTTCCCGGATATAACTGAGAAGGCAAGGCGACCACAGGACCCATGAATTTATTGTCCTGACGTTACGAAAACAAGCAAGCTTTAATCGTCGGAGATAAGTTGCTCACGACGCTTCGCAGTATCTAAGGGTTCTGTTGGTATTGACGTGCCACTGACTTCCCTACATCTACGCTGAGGTGACAAAGAAAATGCACACGTTTGCAAGCAGGCATGAACAGGGCATGAAGGCAAGAAAAATGGAGGGCGGACAACAAACACGAACAATGCGGACAAGAGCAATGGCCGTTGCCATCCGACGCCGCCCCGTCCCGACAAAGAGTTAAGGAAGAACAGATGCCACCATGATTAACTCTCCTCTCTCGCGGTGCAGGACGCATAGATGGCCTGCAATTCAGTCTCACGCCAGCACCAAGAAAGCTCTTAAATGCGGTGAAGCGCGCGCTTCAACATGGCCCCGGGGGCCAGACGGGGCTAGACGGG